TTAACCTCCCTTAAAAAATTTAATAACGATTACAGATTCCTTCTTACGTGCATAGATGTCCTATCCAAATTTGCATGGGCTGTTCCTATTAAAGATAAGAAAAGTGACACGGTATTGAATGCTTTAAAAAAGATACTCAAAGATGGAAGAATCCCTATTCAAATTCATTCAGATAAAGGTTCAGAATTTCTTAATCGAAAAGTTCAAGCCTATTTAAAAAAGAAAAAAATTCATTTTTTCACTACCAATAACGAAACAAAGGCCAGCGTAGTGGAGCGTTTCAATAGAACCCTAAAATCTCGCATGTGGAGATACTTTACGGCTAACAATACGAAAAAATATATAAATATATTACCAAAACTAATTCGTAGTTATAACAACTCCAAACACAGATCGATCGGAAGCACTCCGGCCTCTGTTTCCCGAGAGAACGAACACGATGTATGGTTGAAGTTATACGGATATGACAAACCAGCCAAGCCTGAATTTAAGTTTGAGTTAGGTGATAAGGTTAGAATTAGTAAAAACAAATTAACGTTTGAAAAGGGGTACATTCCTAACTGGACCGAAGAGATATTTATCGTTCACAAAAGACGAAAGACACCCCTTCCTACCTACAAACTGAGAGACTGGAATGACGAGGAAATACAGGGTAGTTTTTACGAAGCTGAATTGCAAAAGGTTACAAAATCGGATGACGACATATTTAAAATAGAGAAAGTTATAAGAAAACGTAAACGAGGTGGAAAGACTGAATTCTTTGTTAAATGGTTAGGTTATCCCGCAAAATTTAACAGTTGGGTTGAGAGATTAGAGGGGTAAACATGGTCTCTCAATTTTCTATTACGCTACCTAGTAACAGCTCTTTGAATTACTTTCCCGAAAACGCAGTAACCCATTACACTACTAAATTATCGGAATCGGTGCGTCTCTCGGGGGAATGGGAATGTGGTCTATCGGAAATTCACTACCCTCACTCGTGGTACAACGTCGATGAAACAAACAATACTATACAGGTAATTAATACCTTTGCTAGGACGGATACCGATTCTTTCACAATTTCTATAGTACCTGGTTTCTACTCTGCGTCTAAAATTAAAGATGCCTTTGCAAAAAAAATGGATGAATTCAATGCAATCTTCTCGGTTATTATAAACTATAGCTCCATTACCGGAAAAATACGCTTAATCACGGATGAAAATTCATCGGTCAAGTTGTTGGGTGAATCGTGG